GTTGTAACAATTAAAAATCGAGTTGAATCTAGACAAAATCGACAACCATTTTAATAAGTTAATCATTATTAAAAATAATATATTCAATTGAGCACAAGTTGTTGAAAACTTTTTAATCTTGTTGTAATTCTTAAAAAATATGTTAAATAAAATCTTAACCGTTATGAATAGTTATGATGTTAAATAAAATAGAAAAAAAATATCTTGAAATAAGTGACAATTTCTTACTAAATACTTTTTCATTTATGTAGTATAAAAATAAATTAAACAGTGTCCAACGGTCAAGTATTTTCAGTAAGTTAATCAATATAATAAGAAAGTATATTTAATGAAATAAAAGATAAAACCTTTTTTTTTTTTTTTTTTGTAGTAACTAAAGATTGTGTGTAACCTGATCCCAACAATTATCAAAAACTATACAGTTGGTTGAAATGATAATAAATAACTTGAATGGCGTGAAAATTGTTGTTGAATACTTCTTTACTTATGCAATTGTCAAAAATTAGATTAAACTCGGTTCTAAACGTTATTAATAGTAAACAAATTAAATTAAAATACAAAAAAAAAAAACAAATCTTTATTGGAATAAAAATTATAAACAAAGAATGTGTAAAACCTGGTCCTAACCATTACAATACATCTGGTCCTAACTGTATACATCAAAATACAATGTAATCCAATACTAATAAACCCCTCCCTTTTTTTTTTTTTTTAAGTCAGGAAATTTGCCTAAACCAAACTTTGCGTCCTGACCCTTGAGGGAGGGCCAGGAGGCTTCGTGGTGGATTCCCGTCCGTAGTATCCCGAAGGACTATCGGACGGGGTACCGACCTAAAACCTGACTGAAGCCCCTGGTCGTATGGGTATTGTCCACCGCGGAACCGCGTGAGCATTACTTCACGGTGGACACTCGACCGGCGTCCTGAAGGTAGGACACATCCCCGGAGGGATACTACAGGTATCCCCCCGGAGAGGACATCCCTTGCCCCGAAAGGGCATCGAGGGGAGCCGGGCCACTAGCTCCCCCCGGACTTTCCTGGGTCGACGTGCAATGGGATCGGGGCTCCCACCCCTCTCCCTGTCAACCCGGCAAGTGAGGTGACCGCAGTCACCCACCCACACACACAAAAACGTCACAGGACGTTACAAAAGACCAACAGTGCACAACACATGTACACAACCACAATGAGACGTAATAAGGGCCACAGGCCCAGCCCTCTAGGGGCCTACAATTAAGACACATGGCCATCCACAATAAAGGTGGGAGAAGATGTAATTCCCACCTGCAACAAAAGACAACAAGAAACTAAGACGAACATAAACTTGGCGCGAGTGAAGAGGCCGCGGAGACACCTCTCGGTAGCCTCCCCGGCACTCATTCACCCCCACCGCTACCTACTACATAGACCTGGCGGGGCAGGGAGACCACGGAGTCACCTTTCGGCATCCTCCCCGGAACCCCCCGCACCCACCGCTACAAACTACGACAAATTGACAGAAACAACATCAGACATTGTGAGCAAAGCTGCAGTCCGGCACAGGGGAGTCACCTCTCCGTAACCTCTCCCGCCCCCGACTGCAGCTCACCTGCACCCACTCGGGACTATCGGGAGTTTCCCCAACAGGGAACCCCGGAGCCCGCGCACACGCCGAGGCAGCCACGGTCTCCATAGGCCGTCCCTCATCGGGACGGCCCGGAGCCTGGCGCCTGTCCTTCGCCCCGGTAATTCGTTGCCCGGGTGGAGGGGAGAGCGAACCGCACCCCCGCCCACCCAGGACATGGTCAGCCGACCCCCCGCCGTCCGCACAAGTGGGACAGCGAGGGGTGGCGACACACCCGCCGCCTGGTGTCCTTCGACACCACAGCGGTAGCAACGTCGCGAGCGATCCACCCTAGACGAGCAGCTCACTCGCGCGTGCCCCACACACAAGGCACCTGAAACACCTCTCAGGGGCGGGCGGGAAGCAGCTCCACCCCAAGGGTGTTCCATCCAACCTTTAAGCTACCCGCTAGCAAGGCCTTACGGCCAATTGCCACCGGGCAGCGCACCCATAAGGTGCTCCAAGGGGACCGCGGCAGGAGCCGGACTAACCCGATCCGAAAATCCCCGCATCGCATCCCTCCAGAGACACCAACGCCTCCAATATTTCTTCACGCGTGGTGATCCCCTCCTCCATAGTCCCACGGAGCCTAAGCTCCATGATTTTCTGGGGGCGGGAGACCACCACGCCCTTCTCCAGGAAGACTTCTCGCAACTTGTCTGCAAGTAGGTCAGCCTTTTCCACCGTGCCTTTTCCAGGGACCTGCAGAAGCAGACCCCCAGTCACACCAAAGCGCATTGACATCGGGCCAATGCCTAGCTCCGTAGGGTCGACGCGTGACTTTGCCTCCCTCAAAATATCCGAGTAGGACCTGCCCCCCGTCGAAACGAGCTGCACCGCCGACGTACTCGGAACGCGTGCAGCCCGCACTAAACGGCCCCGCCGAACACCTAGTCCGGAACCAGAAGGGCCAGACACACGAACCCTCCCAGGGCCCGGGCTCCGCACGCCCCCGGCAGCCGAATCAGCCACCGACGGGGACGAAGACCCGAGCCCTGGGAAGGAAACCTTTCTTCTCGTACCACGACCCCGCCTCCCACGCACAGGCGTCGAGAGGACGGGGGAAACCTCCTTGATCGGGAGGGCAGAGACAGGCGACCCCGTCCCTCTCCCCTGGGAATCCAAGAGGACCTGAGAGACTCTACAGTCCTCCTCAGGTCCTCAAGCGCCCCACTTACGCGCCTCTTAATGAGGAGATCCACCGCGCTAAAAGCTGCTGGTGTGGATCCCCCCCCGAAGCTGCCTCAGAGGAGGACTCAAAAAGAGTCCTCCGCACTTCAGAGGCGGTCTGCTTACCAGAAAATTCCGGCTCAGAGACCACCTCTCTAACCCGCCACCGCCGTGACCTCTTCTTTACAGGAGGCGCCTCCTTCTCCCCCGAAGAAGGAGGCAGAGGAGTCATCGCACCGCGAACAACCTCCAACTCCTCACGGAGTTTTCGGTTGCTCGCTTCCAACTCGCTGATGCGCTCCTCAAGTCTCTTGATCCTCCCGGCGTAAGCCCGGCAGTTATCCGACAGGACCTGCTCCCTGTCAAAAATCTCCACCGGGCTATGGAAGATGCCGGGTTCCGACACGTCAAGCGCGCCATCGGACCTCCCAGGGAAGGCAGAGGCAGTGCCCAACGAACCGTCACCCAGCAAACTCACCTCGTGAGTCGCATCCCGCGGCGAATCCCCACTAGTCTTTTCCACCTCGTTGTTACGGAGGTCAGATTCCTCCTGCACCGTCTCCAGGGCGCACCTGTCTTCTGAGGCACACTTCTTCTTCGAATAACTTTGAAGGTGTAATCTCAGGCGCCTGTAAATTCCGAGCCATCGGAAGGCCCGAACATTCTCGTCCCGAAGGACGTGCCTGATCTCGATCGCAAGATCACTTGGATCGTCGTCCTCACTTAGCTCCTCCCAGGCAATAGCCAGTTGGATGAGCTGGTCCTCCACCTCGTCCTCCGTCCTGCATCTCGGCGCTGTTGCTTCCCCATCCGCGGACCCAGCCGGCAAATCCGCGGACGACCTGTCGCTCGTTGACGACGAGGGGGGAGCCAGGCGTACACTCTCCCCCCGCCGGTTCCCGGTACCCGAACCCGAAACGTTCTCTTTCTTTCCAGAACTACTCATGATGCTAGAAGAGAAAATTGGTTTTTTCTGTCGGGGGTTTTCCTTCTCTTTAAAAGGTTGCCTTACTCAGCTAACGGGGCCCCCTCCCTGGTGTGTTATCTTCGGTGTTTTCCCTTCACCTTTTTTTTTTTTTTTTTTTTTTTTATAGTCAGGAAATTTGCCTAAACCAAACTTCGCCGTCCTGACCCCTGAGGGAGGGTCAGGAGGCTTTGTGGTGGATTCCCGCCCGTAGTATCCCGAGGGACTATCGGGCGGGGGACCGACCTAAAACCTGACTGAAGCCCCTGGTCGTATGGGTATTGTCCACCGCGGAACCGCGTTAGCATAACTTCACGGTGGACACCCGACCGGCGTCCTTTAGGAAGGACACATCCCCCAAGAGGATACTACAGGTATCCCCCCGGAGAGGACATCCCTTGCCCCGAAAGGGCATCGAGGGGAGCCGGGCTACTAGCTCCCCCCGGACTTCCCAGGGTCGACGTGCAATGAGAGAGGGGCCCCCACCCCTCTCTCTGCCAACCCGGTAAGTGAGGTGACCGCAGTCACCCACCCACACACAAAACGTCACAGGACGATTACAGTACATAACGTGCACGAAACATGTACACAAACCACCATAATACATAGTAAGGGCCACAGGCCCAGCCCCAACGGAGCCCACAACAAGACCCTATGGCCAACCACAATAAAGGTGGGAGGGTTGTTACTCCCACCTATGACAAAGGACGATAACTAGGAACAACATAAACTTGGCGCGGGTGAAGAGGCCGCGGAGTCACCTCTCGGCAACCTCCCCGGCGCTCCATCACCCATCGCCGCAACCTACAACATGAACTTGGCGGGGCAGGGAGACCACGGAGTCACCTTTCGGCAACCTCCCCGGAACCCCCCGCATCCCACCGCTACTCACTACAACAATGGACACAAACGACACTAAACATCGGGGGCAGAACTGCAGCCCGGCACGGGGGAGCCGCCTCTCCGCGACTTCCCCCGCCCCCGGCCGCAGTCTACCCTCGTCCACTCCGGGCTCGCAGGCCCCCCATCGGGGCGCCCCGGAGCCTGCGCGCGTTCAGATGAAGGCGTACCCTCCCGACGCCTCTTGGAGGGACGCGCACGCGAGCGCATGCAGCCGACCCGCAGCGGTGTCCCGCTGGTTTTCCCTCGAACCACACGAGAAACATCGGGGCGGCGCCACACAGTCAGCCGCCCTATGACCCGAGCAACCACACCGATAACATAGGCCACTCCGATCCACATCGGCGCCACAGTTGTTGGCTGAATGGCCAAACTCGTGACACCGATAGCACTGGAGGGGACGACGAGCCAGATGACTAACATAGCGTCGTCCACCCCCCTCCAAAGTAAGCCTTTTTGCTACCAACAACTTACGTGCCACTCTAGCGGGACAACGGATCCACATTGTCCCCATACTTGAGCCTGTGAATAACCTAATCTTACCGGCTTTTAGGTCTTCAGCCCGACATCCCCCAAACAACGCTACCTCCTCCAGGATCTTCTCGCGCTTCGCAAAGACCATTGACCCCCTCAGGCGGATATCTTCCATCCGAGAGGGGCGACCAACTCGGACATCCCCCTCCTCAGGGAAGGCTTCCCTCAGCTTAGCGCGAAAGCATCTGCCTTTATTGTCGACTCCTTGCCAGGGACTGACAACAGGATGCTGCCAGTTACCCCTGTTCGCATCCGCATTGTACTAATGCCCAACTCCTTCAGGTCGACCTTCGCTTTGGCCTCCGAAAGGACCGAGGCATAAGACTTACCCTGACCCCCCTCCCGATCGTCAGCGAAATTACCGACGCAGAGGAAGGGGGAGGAATTCGGCTCTTCCTCTTTGGGGCGGGAGCACCCGAAGAAGGGAACCTCTTAGCAGAGGGCCCCCCACCACGACGACGACGTCTACCTCTTGTACTAGCCCCGGGGCAGAGGCATCCACCGAAGCCTCTGCAAGAGCAGAGGCGGCAGAGCCCCCGGCCACGGGACCAGCCGATGGCCCACTGACACCGACAACACTCGCCCTGGGCGCACGCCTGGGATCACTTCCGGAGAAGAGTCCCCAGCCCGCCCAGTAAGCAAAGGCTTAATGTTAGCCAACACGGCAGCAGATATGTCGACCCTAAGGTCGGCAAAGCGCCTGTCCATATGGACGACAAGTCCTCCATAGTGACGGGGTGACTCCCGCCAAATCCGTCTCCGTCACCACCTGTCCCGACGGCGATCCCGGCGATGATGCCGGACAAGGCCGCTTCCTCGCTCCCTTATCGCCAAAGAAGTATTCGGCCTCCAGCTGCGGAATGGCCGCCCGAAGCTCGCCATCTCCGCTCGACTCTGTCTCGATCGCGCTCCAGAGCCGCAATACGCTCACGCAGTCCCCGGTTCTCGCTTCTCAAGGCCTCGGTCTGCGGATCCGTCCCAACAGTGGCCCGCCTGGCCATCTCGTCAAAGATGCCCACAAGTCTCATTGAAGACACCCGAAGATCCCTGGCCACGATTTCATCGAGACCAGTGACATCGGATGCCTTCTCCACTTGTGTGGCAGACAACCCGGCCAACCTTCGGAGCTCCAAGTTGGTGACTTTCCCAAGGCCGGATCTAAAAACTTCGTCCGAGGGAATATTCTCCCTTCCTACAGCAGCGAGGTCTGGTCCCAACTAGGATCCAATAATCTATTCAGATCCTTCAAAAGGACCTCCTGCCTTTCAGCGCGTAAGACCGCTCCTGGCCTCCGCGATATTAACATAGTCCCCAGTTGTTTTGGGGCGACCACGCTTAGTAGTGCGACCGGCACACTTACCTTCGATTTTTTTGCGGGGGTACTGCTTCCTCCCAGTTAGTAGGCGCTTGTCCGATACCTGGAAGTCCGCGTCTCTCCCATCGTCCTCCGGTGAGCTCGGCGAGGAGACCGTGATGAAGCTCACCTCCGGTTCGCACTCACCGTCACTTACGCCCCGCACTTTTTCCGGTGAGGGAAGAGGCGAGGACAGTCACTCTCCCCATCTACTGTTTCTCCAGTCACTGACTCTGCGGTGCTAACCGCAATAACTGGTTCGAAGAACTGTACGCAAACGTGTTTGGCACAGAACTTCGTTTCACGTCGCGAACACTCCGAAAAAAGACGTCCATGTATTTCGCGAGGTCCTTATACACATGATGGGCCTGATAGCACCGAACCACTTTATCCAGAAGGACTCGGCGAATACGCGCAGCAAGTTCCTTCGGATCAACACTACGATCACGAGTATCCCAGCTATGAGCTAGGTCGCGTAATCGTTCCACACCGTGTCCCTCTCACTCCTCGGCACTGTCGCTGTCTTGTCTGCAGCCCCAGCCGGCAAAGCTGCAGACGACCTGTCGTCCGTTGACGACATGGAGGGAGCCAGGCCTACACCCCCCCCACGCCGGTTCCTGGTATCCGATCCCAGGACGATCGCTTCTTCTTTGGAACTATCCATGTCTGAATAAGAAATTGGTTTTTTCTGTCAGGGGTTTTCCTTCCCCTTAGGAGGTTGCCTTGCCTGGCTAACGGGGCCTCCCCCCCGGGTGTTATCTTCGTGTGTTTTCCTTCACCTTTTTTTTTTTTTTTTTTTTATAGTCAGGAATTTGCCTAAACCAAACTTCGCCGTCCTGACCCCTGAGGGAGGGTCAGGAGGCTTTGTGGTGGATTCCCGCCCGTAGTATCCCGAGGGACTATCGGGCGGGGGACCGACCTAAACCTGACTGAAGCCCCTGGTCGTATGGGTACTGTCCACCGCGGAACCGCGTTAGCATAACTTCACGGTGGACACCCGACCGGCGTCCTTTAGGAAGGACACATCCCCCGAGAGGATACTACAGGTATCCCCCGGAGAGGACATCCCTTGCCCCGAAAGGGCATCGAGGGGAGCCGGGCTACTAGCTCCCCCCGGACTTCCCAGGGTCGACGTGCAATGAGAGCGGGGCCCCCACCCCTCTCTCTGCCAACCCGGTCAGTGAGGTGACCGCAGTCCACCCACCCACACCGAAACGTCACAGGACGATATAGTACATAACGTGCACGAAACATGTACACAAACCACATTAATACATAGTAAGGGCCACAGGCCCAGCCCCAAGGGAGCCCACAACAAGACCCTATGGCCAACCACAATAAAGGTGGGAGGGTTGTTACTCCCACCTATGACAAAGGACAATAACTATGAACAACATAAACTTGGCGCGGGTGAAGAGGCCGCGGAGTCACCTCTCGGCAACCTCCCCGGCGCTCCATCACCCATCGCCGCAACCTACAACATGACTTGGCGGGGCAGGGAGACCACGGAGTCACCTTTCGGCAACCTCCCAGGACCCCCCGCATCCCACCGCTACACACTACAACACAAAGACAAAACCGACACTAAACATCGGGGGCAGAACTGCAGCCCGGCACGGGGGAGCCGCCTCTCCGCGACTTCCCCCGCCCCCGGCCGCAGTCCACCCTCGTCCTCCGGGCTCACAGCCCCCCATCGGGGCGCCCCGGAGCCTGCGCGCGTTCAGATGAAGGCGTACCCTCCCGACGCCTCTTGGGAGGGACGCGCACGCGAGCGCATGCAGCCGACCCGCAGCGGTGTCCCGCTGGTTTTCCCCTCGAACCACACGAGAAACATCGGGGCGGCGCCACACAGTCAGCCGCCCTATGACCCGAGCAACCACACCGATAACATAGGCCACTCCGATCCACATCAGCGCCACAAGAATTGGCCGAATGGCCAAACTCGTGGCACCGATAACACTGCAGGGGGCGACGAGCCAGATGAATCACATCCAGCGTCGCCCATCCCCCCGCCAATGCCAGCTTCTTCCCGGCCACAAGCCTCCGCGCAACTCCAGCCGGACAACGAATCCAGATCGTCCCGACATCCGACTTAGGGAACGTACGAATTTCCCCAGCCGTCAGCTCCGCAACACTGCAGCCCCCAACTAATGCGACTTCCTTGAGGATATCCTGCCTACTAAAGGACAGCATCGTCCCCCTCAGTCGAACGTCCTCCGTTCGAGAAGGACGGCCAATCCTCACCGCTCCTGAAATGGGAACACGTCCTTGAGTTTGGACACCAAATTATCAGCCTTAACTGAGGAGTCCTTGCCTTTAACTGACAGCAAGATGCTGCCAGTTACTCCCCTACGCATACGTAGGGAACTGATTTCCAGTTTCCCTACATCAATCTTAGACTTAGCCTCGGACAAAACCGAGGCATAAGTCTTTTCCCGCTCTCCCCCCTTAATCGTAAGAGAAATCACCGACTCCGTAGACGGGGGGCGTATAGGGGTCTTCTTTTCCCCCTTTGCGCAACTCCTCCTTTGGGATACTCCCTCCAGCCCATTTAGCCACCTGTGGGAGTCGCCCGGAACCACGCCGACGACGCTTATCTTCCTCTTAGAGACCCCCGGACCGGAGGCATCCGCCAAAACCTCCGCAACAGCAGAGGAGGCAGAGACCCCGGGCAAGGGGTCAGTCACCAGAGCAATCGCTCCACCAACTGCACTCACAGAAGGCGCACGCATGGGAACCGCTCCCCCCAAAAAGGGAGAGGCCCCAGCCCGCCCCGCAAGTTCCGACCTAATTGAGGTCATTACTGATATCGATATGTCGTCCCTCAAGTCACTTAAGCGACGGTCCAGAAGGGACGACAAATCGGAAAGCATAATTGGTCGGTCCTCGACCAAAGGACCCGCCACCGCAGCCGAGACAGGCGGTGATCCCTCCAAAGAGGGTGGGCGAGGTCTCTTTTTAGCACCCTTATCTTCAAAATAAACCCTTCAATCTGAGGGATTGCCGAATGAAGAAAACCTATTTTCTCCGTCAATCTATCGACCTCCCGCTCCAGGGCTGTAACACGAACTCTCAGACCCTGGTTTTCACTTCTTAATGAATCCATCCTTGGATCAGCCTCCGCAGTAGATCGAGAAACAGCCTCACTAATGACTCCTCCAAGTTTCCTTGAGGAGATCCGGAGCTCCTCAGCCATGACCTCGCCAAGGCCAGGGAGTCCGGCCACCCTCTCGACTTGGGTCACAAACCTCTCTCCCAGCCTACGGAGCTCCACAGTGGTAATCCCCTTCAGCTCCTCCACAAATGCTGTGTCCGAAGGAATATTCATCGGACCAACAGCAGTCAGAGTTGGACCAAAAGAAGGGTCTAGACTCTTTTCGCGTACTCTAATTTGAGCGACTCCTTCATGGCAGCATTTAACGCTCCTTTTCAGCCGCCAAACCAGCATACTCCCCAGTTGTAATGGGGCGACCTCTTTTACCTGTAAAGGACTTACCTGTAGTTTTCTTGGGGTATTGTTTCCTCCCTGTCAGGACCCTCTTGTCCTCAGGAGCCCAAGAAACATCCCTGTCTCGTCCTGCCCCACTGGTCTCTGGAGAGCTTGACGAGGGTAGCGTGACGAAAGACGGATCAGCAGCTTCCATCTCCTCATCATCACTATCACCCCGCACTTTTTCCGGTGAGGGAAGAGGCTGAGAGCAGTCACTCTCCCCATCTACTGTTTCTCCAGTTAATGAGTCTGCCGTACTAACCGCAATAACTGGCTCGAAAAACTGTACGCAAACGTGTTTGGCACAGAACTCCGTTTCACGTCGCGAACACTCCCGAAAAAAGACGTCCATTTGTTTCGCGAGGTCCTTATAATCATGAAGGGCCTGATAGCACCGAACCACTTTATCCAGAAGGACTCGGCGAATACGCGCAGCAAGTTCCTTCGGATCAACACCTCGATCACGAGTATCCCAGCTATAAGCTAGGTCGCGTAATCGTTCACGCACCGTGTCCTTTTCACTCCTCGGCACTGTCGCTGTCTTGTCTGCAGCCCCAGCCGGCAAAGCTGCAGACGACCTGTCGTCCGTTGACGACATGGAGGGAGCCAGGCCTACACCCCCCCCGCCGGTTCCTGGTATCCGATCCCAGGACGATCGCTTCTTTATTAGACTCCATCATCTGTAATAAAGAAATTGGTTTTTTCTGTCGGGGTTTTCCTTCCCCTTAGGAGGTTGCCTTACTCAGCTAACGGGGCCTCCCCCCCGGGTGTTATCTTCGGTGTTTCCTTCACCTAGTGCAGTGGACAAGTCCTTTTTAGGGCCTGCACGCCCATCACACCCCATTCATCCGTCACACACACTCCAGCTCGGGTACCTCGGGATTGCGACACCCGTACACTACAGGGATGAGTCTGTAGTGCCCCTGAGAGATTA